TACCTTCATATGCAAGAAATTCGCAAAGCAATTGATGAGAAAAAAATATGATTTATTTGTACTTGCAAACATTTATTCAAATCCACATCATATGACATACAAGTCTTCAAGTGCTGACCTACCAGGAAGGAATGACAGGCCTTGAATGAGGACAACACTCGAGGAAAATTAAAATTGCTTACAACATAAACTAGTATCAGTAAGCAAAATGGTGTAAATTTAATTAGTGGTTACAAGATGAATTTTATGCTGCCCATGCATTCTTATCAAGACGGTACAAATTAATGTACTGTGTAGAGGAATTGCATCTTGAAATGTTGATGGTAGTTAATGTATATCATCACCGGAATGATTTATTGCTAACCCAACATTTATTGAGCAAAACCTAGCATTTTTTCTCACAAGAGAAAACAAAATACACTTAGCATACCAAGTTAGTTTGCCTGTTCTATTCAGTTTACAAAAAAAAAAAAATATGGCTACACTCCAAGCTATGGTGAAATGTGATGGGAAGGAAGTACAAAGGGAAAAAATGAGTTGAGCAGTGAAAAACGGGGAAACAAGGAGCAAAGGAGATGTACAATTGACAAAACATGAAAAACAAACATCTAAAAGAACATGGGTGGCAATACACATAGTATTATGATACATATCATTCCTTTACATAATATGTTGAACATCCAATAAGCCTGGTGACAATTCTCAGGTATGATGTCATCATCATGATACACACAAATGTTTGATATATCATAAACAGTGGAGTCCGCTTACACCGAAGGTGGTTATCCCGAAAGCAGTGATAAATTAAAAGAGAATAAAACCTTTTTTTGTCTTTTTTTGAGCTGAGCAACCTCCTAAACTGAAAACACGGCTAATCTGGAAAAATCGCAACGGTCCAGCAGATTTCTGTTTAAGCGGAGTCCACTGTATCTCTTTTGTGTAGTTTTCCAAACGCATTAACAAAGAAATTTTACCCCCCGCGGTAGTGCCACTGACTGTAGTGTCTTTAGGCCATTCCGAAAGGGGGGACATTTCTCGTTCAAGTACAGTAGAGTTGTAAATGGGCTGATTCATCATGTCACGCTCATAACTGCCTGATCTACAATAGGGAACAGCTCCTTTTTCTTTCCTAATCCTATGGTCATTTTTCCTCTACTTCTTTTGTATGTTTGTCACTCTCTTGTGACCCGCTATTTCCGGGGAGCCTTGATAGTCGAAGCAGACCTTGTGCTGTTGAAGCTAGAGAGGTGAGCAGAATAAGTCTGATTCCCTGTAAAGACTTCTCAGTTGACACCCACCCCTTGGCGCTCATATGACCTTATGCAGTTGCGAGCGCCGTAAAACCCTTTACTATTAAAAAAAAATAAATAAAAAAAAAGAATAAATGTTCTTATTCCATGTTTCCTTTTATTTGCCTCAGCACAGGATTCCCCAATGATTACCTGTAAATTATAATGAACCTTTGATCAATAGAACTACATTCTATTTTAACCACATTATCACTCTCCTGAAAAATAATTTTTAATGGACTTATAAATACGTTTAGAAAATAACACTGATGATATACGTGCAATATGAACACAAACCACTACATTGTGTGTAGTATAAAAGTGAAACGGAAACAACTCAGAAAATAAGACTTACATTTGAGAAAAGGCATTGACAACACCGCACGCACTCGTAAACCTTTAAATTCATTCTTCTCAAACTACACGATTAAAATGAGCCTCTTCTGTATTAGAGTTTAGCTAAAACAATGATCAGAATAACTGGAGAAAAAAAAACAACCAAAGTTAATCTGCTTTAAAAACTGAAAAAATGTCGTCAGTAAACGTAGCCACTTTAATCCAATTACACCACCAGTGAACTGAACTCACTGCCTTCTTGGGGTTCGTGAATTGAGCCACTTTTCTGTACTCAAATCAAACTTACTATGGGGAGGGGTGGTGGTGGTATCCATTTCTCAAGATATAATATTGTTTAATGGTGCTCAATTGGGTTACATTATAATATATATTCGACTTACTACATGTATCTATAAACTATGACATTATCTGTATGACTAACTCTAAACCATGACATTTATATTCAACCGACATCAGAAATACGAAATTTAGTACAACATTTAACAAGCGGCTCAATTTACGGTCCGCTTTTAAGCACAGCTGACAACTTTCCCAAAAAAATACAAACGAGTATAACCAGCAACATTGACAAAAGTAACGAAATGAAGAAAACAAAAGAAAGATACTTGAGTGTTGAGCATCAGTGTGGACACTGACATCCTTGTGTGCTTTGCTGCTGCGAAGTCACAAGCAAAACGTATCATTTACCATTACATTATTTATGCTCTCAAGGCATTGGTCTGAGTGCCAAACTTTCAAGATCTTACCAGGTACAGACAGAGGGTGGATGGTAGGAGGATGTCACTGGTAGGTTCGAATCCTTTTCTTTCCTTGTTATTTCTATCCTTCTGTCTTACCTTTTCTCAGCACAAAGTTGCCATCATCCTGTTGGTCCATGTGCTTCTCTGTTCATACCCAAACTAAGCTTAATGGAAGATAAAATTGCAAAAGGCACAAGATTCGACACAATAGATGAAGGCACGATTCAATCATTCTCTCTACTGATCCATAATATTGGGAAAAAACCCAATGAAAATGTCTAACAGCAAAGACAGAAAACATCAACAACTCATTCTATTCTTTCTCATGTAAGCAACCATATTCAAATTCATTCCAATAAGTACATTCAGATTTATTTTAATGAAAGCATTCATATTCATTTTCATTAACACATTCATACTCACCTAATTGACAAATTTTTAAATTCTGTTTTCATTGACAAATTAAAACTCATCTAATCAACACATTCAAAGTCATTTTCATTAGCACATTCAAATTCATAGCAAAACTTAACACACATGTGTTTAGAATCACGTTTTAAAAAAAAATTCTCATCATTACATACAGTAGTTTCCACTTAAACCGACACCATACAAAGGCACACTTCGCTCAAACACACGTTTTTGTCATATGACAGTTTGTTTTCCAACTATACAATTTAAACGTACAAAGGCAGACAACTGTACTGTCTCTTTAGAGATGCACATATCAATATAATAAAGTGTCTCAAAACGTGACTCCCCTCTAGACAGAAAAAGGAGTAGGAGACACGTCAAATAATACACATATATATAATAATATACATTTTTATGTGTGAGGATTGGAGGAATAGGCAGGATGTGAAGCTTGCCCAAGGAATGAACCAAAACAATGCAACACGTACTAAATATTGGCACAGTTGCTGTTAGAGAGTAGAACAAATGGTGGGGAGAAGGAGATACAGACATCTGTATATATGGCACCCAACAGTCTACGGAAATAAGAGG